TGAAACGGAAGACCCCAGGCCTCATTAACAAATACACAAAAAGAAGTATATTTAAAATGCTCCTAATTTTTTCTTAGTTGAAGTTCCTATATTCTCTTAGTTGAAAACAGAATACAATACACCTAACCTTAGGAACTGCGTCAGCAGCAACCAACTTCCCAACAGCAATGATTACCAATTTGCATAGGTGAGGGGTAGTTTTGGCCCTTTTCTGTTGAAACAGTTAAACTTAGCCATAGGGCTTTAATGGCAATCTAACAAGAAAGTATAGATCAGGACTACATGGCATCTCAATTCTAATTCAAATTTCTTTAATAAATAAAAGTGCTATGATACGAAGCATGATACTAAAAATTAATTGTTCTAGATGCAGGCTTTTTTTGAAACTGGTTTAAATATAATACTGTTAAGAGCCATACAATATTCCTCCATACAACAGTAAGATGTGAGCTAGAACTGCCACGAATTGAAAGAAAACAATGAATGGGAGAGCAAAAACCACCTGGAATATGTAGTTGGCGTTAACAAAGTTTCCAGAACTTTTGAAGAATGGATTCATCTGGAGAGTACCCCAAAGCTTCTAGCTCTGTGGATGCAAGGGTTGCTTTCCTGAAACAGCCACCATTGTTCTGAAAAAACAACACAAACCTAGACCAAGAAAAAAAACAACAAACTCAATTAACCAAAAGAGAAAATAGAAGGCACTGACAGGAGATAGGTGGAACATAGATGTTTGGAAAAATGGATACCCTACATGCAAGTTGACTTGCACGAAGACCTTCCAGAGATTTATTAGTCAGGAAGGACTTAAGTATTTCAAATAAGGACTGTGCCATAGTTTATGATAAGAGTGTAGGCATCAGTAAACATGCAGACGCATGTTAAGAAGAAGAAATGCAATAACCTAAACAAGTAAATTAAAGCAGTTGTGGTGGCAAGACTACGAAAAAGAATTATTCAAACTACAATATACCCACCTCGTCATCAATACTTCTGAAGTTTTTGAGAGTCTCTGCAAGATCTTTATGCAAACTTTCAATGGAAATTTGCCTTGACAATTGAAGTTCATACAACCTGTTCAAGTCAACAAGCAGTGAGTATTCATCATCACCATCACCATCCTGCAACGACAACAATTGCACATTTGACCAAGCTGCATCAATAGAACACAGTCACCTTCAATTTGTTAAGGGCACATACAGCAACTTCTATTATAGCAGATTTAAGTTTGATAATGAGCTCATCTTCAATCCCCTTTGATTTGTTAAGGACGAAGTCCTGTAACTCCCCACGACTCTCAGTAGCACAGAAGTTCAATGCTTTTACACAAGATTCTACGAGCTTCCTTCTCACCATTCTGAAAAAATGCCTCTTTCACCAGAAGGACAGAAGATTTAAAATCCTGGAAAAGCAAAAGAAAACAGATTTTAGTTACCAGTTCAAAAAAATTTATTTCATATTGGCAATCCCCTATACAGTTCATAATCGTAATAAGTTCCACAAATGCACCTGAAGGAAGACTTGGCAGACATCTGTGGGAGCATTTAATGAAATTCTCCATCTTAAATACTACACTTCTCCATACTGCACTAATGCCTATTTCTGGAACAATGATACGTTGACAATGAGCTCATCTTCAATCCCCTTCAATTTGTTGAGGGTGTAGTCCTGTAACTCCCAACAAATCTCAGTAGCCCAGAAGTTCAAAGCTTTTATACAAGATCTCAGAGCTTCCCTCTCACCATGCTTAAAAAATGCCTCGTTCATCAGAAAGACAGCAAATTTAAAAATCTGGAAAAGCAAAAGAAAACAGCTTTGAGTTACCAGTTCAAAAAAAATAATTACTTCATATTAGCAATCCCATATATAGTTCATGATAGTAATAGGTTTCACAAATGCACTTAATCTTGTCTTTTAAGAGAATAGAGCTCTAGGTTCATATGAACAATGAGTTCAAGAAGATAGGGAATTTTTGCTTTGTCAGACATAAATTTGCGCATAAGCTGTGGATAATTCCTCATCATAGCAATGGTTATATCACGCATAGAACTTTCAAACACGTCCTGGCGATTACAGCATAAGCATTCAAAGAATTCAGTATCCCGGAGTAGTATGGTGGAACAACACCAACATAATTTGTCATTGACAAAGAACACTTAAGAAGGAACCTTACCAAATTACCTCAAACATCATGTTCAATAGTCCAGCCATTGCAGCTTTCGGATCCTTCTCATAGTGTTCCACCCAATGCTTGGTCTTTTCTCAAACAATAGCGACTAGCTAGAAGCTCCTTTTCTAGGACAGTAAGTTTAGTCCTCCATGGTGATGATGCAACGAAGACCTTCCCCCTTCAACATTAATTCAAAAGCCTTGTAGATTTCAGAATATGGGAAGTGTATGAGTGATGAATTTCTCCAATTCAAATTCCTTATTCATGTATTTCTCAACAACAGAAGGAATATCCGAACGAGGTTTGTAGTTTCCAAAGAAGGTTCCTTTGAGAGTCCTTTCATGTAGAAAGTTCATAGGGTGTGTCTTGAACACAGCTTCCTTATGGGGTATACCAATAAGAACAGCCACTCCCCACCCCTGAAAATTAATTACGACAATGTTCATTAAGATTATTGTATAAATAAGAATATACAACTAAGGAACTATCTTTTTACACCAATAATAAAAAGATACAATACAATTCCATCCAACTTTATGGATGGAATTGGACAAAAGTAAGTTGCTATCTCACTAGACAAAAGAACAATATTTACTTTCTAAAAGATAAAGAGAGACCCAAAAGCTATAGTCAAAATATAAAACCAAGAGAAAAGATAGTCAACAATTACATACATAAAATCAGTCAGAGCAAAGTAAAGGTGAACAGATGGCCAGAACACGCACACTGGCAAATGCAAAGATCAGCTCATAATCATGGAACTTCGAAATCAAACTTACCAGTCATCCACTTCAAGAAATCCCATAAGCAAGCCCAGGGGTTGACTATTTTCTAGCTCCGAGGAGCGCTCAGCAACTGCATCTGTTTCCATGTCAAATGCAGCATACAGATCCACCGTCACATCTCCTTGCTTCTCTTCATCCATGAGATCCTTCCCAGTAGCAGCAACAATTATTCTACCTATTTTGTTAGCCTACATGAATCCAAGAGGAAAGCTAAAATAACCCACTAACCAAACAAGCACGCAAAATTTCAAGCTAAAATACCCACATTGAACAGAAGTATTCACACTAGAAAATGTTGGAACCTCATCAAGTCTTTTAGCTAAAAATGCATTGTAATGGTCAAAAGCAGCATCCTCCTTGGGAAGTAAATGTGCATAACTGAAACAAAAACCAGGTCGCCAGTAGCAATAAGTTGAATTAAATCCAATAGTCCAGGTTACCTACCAAGAGCCAACTAGAAAGCCCAATTAGGCTTTGGGCCTTTCACAACTCAAATTAATCAGTAGATGCTTTTGCTTTTGCTCAGAATAAGCAACTTCTTATATCAATAAACAAGAGTATGTAAAGATCCTACTTATTATCCCAAAAGGAGAAGACACACATAAATAGCATATTGTTTCCCTGTATTCATTTTATCAAGCTTACAAGTCTCTGCCTTTTGTTGCCTCCCTAGTGCCCTTTGACACCAATCTCAGGGAAACATCCTATTTTATTATTATATTAAATGATCTTTTAGATGATAACATTCATATCATCCTTTTACAAGCAGTATGTTGTACATAAAAGAAGCCACGAAAAAACTACACGAGATAATCTTAACTCCTTAAAAATACTTTGGTCCAACGAATAACAGTGCCTTTAATTATCTATTTTGTTTTACTATCATAATTCACATTAGTCGCCAGCATCATCAGAAGGCATCGGTATCCTATACTCTTAGTTATGTCAATGTGCAAGAGATAATAACCAAAATCACCAAGTCAAACTCTTAATTTTTTGATAAAATACACAACTTTTTCTACATTCTTTTTGACAAGGTAAATTTCTCGATTTGTGCATGTCATCCAAATTATATTTACACATAAAGAAGGTGTCCGATAAAATACACAGTTAAATTACCATCTACAGCTTGTGAAATAGATAATAAATAACAAAACCCATTTCTGCAAGAGCAACATAAAGAGAAAAAAAACCACTCAAGCACGAAGAAAGACATAATACTTGCTAGCAAGAAAGGTGGATGTTCATGCACCTTTTATGCACAACAGTTATTCAGAGCTTATTTAAAGCCTAATGTTCACTACAAAAGTTAAGTATCCTTTTTGGCACTCAAATCTTTAAAGAAATTGTAAAGCGGAGGAGGAAAAGGTGGGTTGAGGTAACCAAGTATACAGATATACTCACATGCTATCAACATAAATGAAGTCTCTTTTCACCAGCAAGGCCGTCAGCTGATAAAGTTCACTTGGAACAGGATCATTTACTTCCAGGCGTTGGTAGTATTGAAACTTAAACCCCAGAATCTGGGAGGCATGGGACTGCAAATAATGGAGAGAAAATGGAAAACAAATGCACTTTCAAGACTGGGAGAGCTCCACAAAACAAGAAAACAATAAGGCAACCACAATTATACCTTGGGAAATATGGGAATCAAGTCCAAAAATATACTATTTACCAGGCTGACGTTCAAAACACTCCAAAACCTGTATAATCACAGGCCAAAGATAGAACTGAACACTGACCTTTCAAAGGTTTAAAAGGAATGGAAGTCAAAAAATGGATTAAACAGAGTAGAAATGTACGATATCATTATGGATAAAGAACGTACAATATCAAAGACTCGGTTTGGATCCAAATCAAAGTGCCCTATCAACAACTGCATATGGTCCAAGAATTAGAAATACATAAAAATAAGATTTCAGCTACCAAAGTGCTGAGTTGAAAATAAACCTTGATTATGCCAACTGTAGCAGCTGAAGCATTATGGTTAGAACCCTCTGGAATTTGACAAAGGAGAGTGACCTACAATTACAGTCAATGGAAGGTCAAAATAAAGGAGAAAACAGAAGTTGAGCTACAAAGAAGTGGAGACGAGGAAAACATCACCAAAAGCAAGCATGAACTTCTAAAATTTGCCTAATCTAAAGAACAAACACATAGAGAACTTTGCTTTGTACAAAGCAAGAAAGGAATGGGATAATCCTTTTGCTTGGAAGGAGAAGTGTGAGTTCGGTCTTTCTTCCCTTACTTTAATCCATTGACTAAAGAAAGGGAAAGGATGATGAAAGTTCGCAACCAGTTTTCAATGGACAGGCAGAAGTCCTCCAGTCACCTCCCACACTTACGTGTCATTTAGTTGCACTTAATGGGGTCTGAATCTGAATGCTTCAGATCTCGGTCCATTAAGTGCATTTGTTTTTTGCATTTTAAAATCTCTTAATGAGGGAGGCAAGACTGAAATGATTCGGACATGCGAAGACAAGATTGCGCATATGCCCCATAGAGGAGGTGTGAGAGGTTGTCTATGGGGGTCTAAGGAGAAGTAGAGGTATGCCGAAGAAGTATCAGGCAGAGGTGAGTATACAGGACATGGAACACATACAGCTTACCGAGAACATGATCCTAAATAGGAAAATATGGAGGCCGAGGATTACAGTAGAAGGTTAGAAGGTAGTTGAGCATTGTCTAGTTTCCCTCATCACTATTATTAATATTACGCTCCTATCTTGTTCTTCGATTTTATTGTTGCATGTTTGCTTTGCTTCGGTTATCGTACTATATGTTGTTACATTGTTCTTTTCTCCATTATTTTCGATCTCACTGTTTTACTATTGTATTTCTTTTTCATACTAACTTTTATATAAAGTCATATTCTTTAATTGAGCTGAAGATCCATCGGAAACCTCTCTAGCTTCAAAAGGTAGGGGTAAGGTGCGCCTACACACTACCCTCCTCAGACACCACTTGTGGGATTACACTAGGTATGTTGTTGTTGTTTAATGGGTCTGAACGGACCTGAATAAATCACATTTCAGACATATTTAGAAACGCTACTTTTATTTCCTGAAAAGTTCACGCTTCTCTTTTTCTCTTCAACAGAAAATTTCATACCTCTTTTATATTCAAGAATGGTAACAGTATATTTAAAAACACTAAGGAAGTGTTATACCATATTTACAGCAACAGAATAGATCAAAAGTGATCTATCTACAGACTACCTAACATATCTAACAGAGAATCTGTATTCTCTACATGGTTTAATTTACACCAAATATAAGACAAAATGATACAATTCATCTTAACTTTTTGCATAGAATTGCATGTCTAAAAAAATTCTGAGTTCCTCTCAGACCACCATATGCAAGCAGGGACCACTCCACCACTGTTTCTGTCTCACTATGTTCCCCTTGTTGTTCCAGGTTCTAGCAGATCAGCAGAATTAACAGACATAGTCCATCTACACCCCACCAAGTTTAGGAACATAGCCACAATTGCAAGTGAAAGACAATATAAACAGATGGCCATTGGATTTTAAAGCTTTTCCACATAAAACACACCTTGAACACAATTGAAAGCCCTCTGTTCTTGAGTTTTCTTGAGTTAGGCAAGCTTCTCTAGCAACCAGATAGGAACTTTAGCCTTCCAAATACACTTCCATGGCCAATTTACAATGGATTGGCCTGCCTGTGAAGGTTAAGATGCTCTGATTTAACAGTACAAATCCCATTCTTGTTTTTGTTCCAATAAAGAGTATTCTTCCTCCTTTTTGAAGCTTCTAAGCTAAATTAAAAATCATTAATTCTCCCCAGATCCCAATCATTTAAACCTCTCCTGAAGATGATATTCCATCCATTCAATCCCCAAGCACTATCCAGTTTGATGTAGGAAGTGATGCTATAGAAAAAGAACTCAGGAAACATGTCTTTTAGTGTACCATGACCTACCCATTTATCATGCCAAAATGAAGTCCTTCTCCCATTACCCACCCTTGTACTAGTATTCATCTTAAAAGAATCGCATAGTTGCCTGCTAGCTTTCCAGACCCTGTCCCATGAGGGTTGTTGATTGGACTTGTACATCACTGATCTGTGTGGTTCTATTTTTCACCAATGACTAAACTCCACAAGGCATCAAGGTCAGAATTGTACCTCCACAACCACTTCATGAGTAAGCTTTGATTATGTGCTTCTAAGTTCCTACGGTCCATCCCCCTTCCTTTTTGCTGGTAATGAGAGATTCCCAATTAACCAAGTGCATGTCCCTATCTTCCTCACTCACGAAAGCTCTCTCTTTAAAATTGAAAGACAAAAGTAAGAACTCCAGTTAAATAGCCATCACCCATTTTTCTCTTTTTTTCATTGCTAATTTATTTTGGATTTCACATACTGCTTCCTTTCACTTTTACTTATATACAATACTAGAAATAGATAACTTTTACTTGTCCAATTTGGAATGCGAAGAGATGATTTGTCATTTTAGACCTATTTTACCATTTATTAAGTACTAATCATTTCATTTCCCAACATGTAGCTGACTTATAATAATTAGGGGTGATATAGCAAAATTTCCATTTTATTGAATTTAAAAGAACAATACATAATACAGGATAGTATACAAAGAGAAAAACATAATTTCCACCCGTGCTTTCAACAATAATTGAGGAAGTCAAGCCTAAAATTTATATATAAATCTCAAACTGCAATAATAAAAACTACAGAACATTAGTCCAACTAGAAGACCACAACTTCCATTCCTCCTTTCAACATAATAAAATTTCAGAATGACACGCAAACTAGAAGACCATAATCTCCACTGTGCTTTCACCAATAATCTAGAAACAAAGCCTAAATATCTGTAGATTCTCAAATCCAAATTAAAACATCAAAACGACTGTAACAAAACCTACAAAACAGCAGACAAAATTATAATACCAATTAAACACTGATGAGCATTTCTAGCAGAAGTGCCTCCTAAAGCCTTACTCGGACGATTCTTCTCTCTCTTCCTCATTCACAGTGTTGTGTAATTGCCCTTCGTTAACCCTAGTTTGAGTTCTCATTCGTTTTGGTACACGATTAACTCAATAATTACGTCTCAACTATTAACTTAATCAGTTGAATACGTTGAAATAAAAAACCAAACTCACCATACAACACATTCGCTGTTTCCAACACTCCTCCGAGAATTGCTGTTGCTGTAAGCCCTAGAAACCGAAGCAAAAAAAGCGTGAATTATACAGAAGAACGAGACGGTGAGAAAATGCAGAGAATCGCTGTTTCCGACTCACCATACAACGATTGCTGTTTGCGACACCACTGGTTCATCCTCCGTGAATTGATGTTGCTGTAAGCCCTAGAAACCGAAGCAAAGATCAGAAAATTTCCGAAACCCACCAAGAGAGAAACCCTACATAAAAAACCAAACTCACCATAGGACGATTCGTTGTTTCGGACACCCACTGGTTCCTCCACAATAGCACCAGAGTTTTCAGAATCCTCGAACGATTCTTCTCTCTCTTCCTCATTCACAGTGCTGAGTAATTGCTCTTCTTTAACCCTAGTTTTGAGTTCTTGTTCGTTTCTGTACACGATTAACCCAATAATTGGGTCTCAACTATTGACTTAATCAGTTGAATACGTTGAAATAAAAAACCAAACTCACCATACAACACATTCGCTGTTTCCAACACTCCTCCGAGAATTGCTGTTGCTGTAAGCCCTAGAAAACCGAAGCAAAAAAGCATGAATTATACAGAAGAACGAGACGGTGAGAAAATCCAGAGAATCGCTGTTTCCGACTCACCATAAGTATAAAAGGTTTTTAAAATCTATAAATTAATTGACAGGTAAAAATTACATGAAGGGGAGAGAAATTGAAGGATGGGTTACGTGTGTGAGATAATAAGTAAATTAATTTTATTGGAATGAAGTTTTTAAAATATTTGATATTTAAATATTATTTTTATAGCTATATCAACTATACTTTTAGTTTTATAATATATTATGTTGAAAACTTTCTAAGGATAATATTAATTTTATGATTATTTTACATGGATTAAACATCAAATACTTTAAATATTTTTACGTGTTTGTCCTTTATTATTTATAAAGTTTGAACTAAATTATTATTTTTTGTTTAACCAATTTACTAATTCAACACTCCACATGAAATATTTAATATCAGGTGAATAAATGATATATTGATAGATTTAACTAATCTTTTATTCAAAATCAAAAGATTCAAAATATTCTTTACTATTTTAAATTTGCGTAAATTATAGTAGAAAATGATTTAAAGATAAAAATAATCTTAATTAATACAATCGCTATATTAGGTTTACTCAAACTGTCTATTAGATATTTTAAAATTTGATTTGAACTATATCATGAAAATATGAATATTTATGAAAAGGGTGTCACGTTGATTTGAACTTTATCTGGTGAAGCATATTATGTGTAACTATAGTTATCATGAAATCAAATATTTTAAATTTTAAATTAAAAATTATGTCATATATGTTAAAATCGTAATTTTGAACTTGAATTAATGTTATTATATAACGTTGTGAACAGTCTTAAATTTATTAAATGGCTTATAATTGTGATATTGTTCAGCATAGAATTTAACGTGTCACTAACCAAAACGAGAACCTCCTAGGTGGGCGAACCAACAAATCCAACCCAACTTATATTAATTGTTCAAATTACGAAATACTAACCATAATGCGGAAGCTTAGATCTTATTTATATAATAAGAAATACAAATCCACTAGCGTCTATTAAATATCGTTTCTCAAAACCTGAAAGTCATCACATCGAGGACATCTAATCTCCAATTACTAAGTCTAACAGTATCAAAGACAACAGG